ATTAATGCAAATGGCCCTTTGTCAGATTTTATTTGATAAGTATTTTCCCATTTTTTAAAAAAATTCAATTTCTGAAACGTTCCATGCTCATGGATTGGAAGAACAAATACTATGAAGATGTCAGTGCTACCTAGAGCAATCTACACATTTAATGCAATCCCTATCAAAATACCATCCACTTTTTTCAAAGAAATGGAACAAATAATCCTAAAATTTGTATGGAACCAGAAAAGACCCCAAATAGCCAGAGGAATGTTGAAACAGAAAAGCAAAACTGGCAGCATCACAATTCCGGACTTCAAGCTCTATGACAAACCTGTCATCATCAAGACAGTATGGTCCTGGCACAAAAACAGACACATAGATCAATGGAACAGAATAGAGAGCCCAGAAATGGACCTTCAACGCTATGGTCAACTCATCTTTGACAAAGCAGGAAAGAATGTCCAATGGAAAAAAGACAGTCTCTTCCACAAATGGTGTTGGGAAAATTGGACAGCCACATGCAGAAGAATGAAACTGGACCATTTCCTTACACCACACACAAAAATAGACTCCAAATGGTTGAAAGACCTAAACGTGAGACAGGAGTCCATCAAAATCCTAAAGGAGAACACAGGCAGCAACCTCTTCGACCTCAGCCGCAGCATCTTCTTCCTAGAAACATCACCAAAGGCAAGGGAAGCAAGGGCAAAAATGAACTATTGGGATTTCATCAAGATAAAAAGCTTTTGCACAGCAAAAGAAACCGTCCACAAAACCAAAAGACAACCGACAGAATGGGAGAAGATATTTGCAAATGACGTATCAGATAAAGGGCTAGTATCCAAAATCTATAAAGAACTTATCAAACTCAACACCCAAAGAACAAATGATCCAATCAAGAAATGGGCAGAAGACATGAACAGACATTTCTGCATAGAAGACATCCAAATGGCCAACAGACTTATGAAAAAATGCTCAACATCACTCAGCATCAGGGAAATCCAAATCAAAACCTCAATGAGATACCACCTCACACCAGTCAGAATGGCTAAAATGAACAAGTCAGGAAACGACAGATGTTGGCGGCGATGCGGAGAAAGGGGAAGCCTCCTACACTGTTGGTGGGAATGCAAGGTGGTGCAGCCACCCTGGAAAACAGTATGGAGGTTCCTCAAAATGTTGAAAATAGAGCTACCCTATGACCCAGCAATTGCACTATTGGGTATTTACCCCAAAGATACAAATGTAGTGCTCCAAAGGGGTATGTGCACTCCGGTGTTTATAGCAGCAGTGTCCACAATAGCCAAACTATGGAAAGAGCCAAGATGTCCATCGACAGATGAATGGATAAAGAAGAGGTGGTGTATATACACAATGGAATATTATGCAGCCATCAAAAGGAATGAAATCCTGCCTTTTGCAATGACGTGGATGCTGAGTGAAATAAGTCAATCAGAGAAAGACGTGTATCATATGATCTCACTGATATGAGGAATTCTTAATGTCAGGAAACAAACTGAGGGTTGTTGGAGTGGTGGGGGGTGGGAGGGATGGGGTGGCTGGGTGATAGACATTGGGGAGGGTATGTGCTATAGTGAGTACTGTGAACTGTGTAAGACTGATGAATCACAGACCTGTACCTCTGAAACAAATAACACATTATATGTTAAGAAAGAGAAGAAGATAGTGGGAAGGGAAAAATGAAGGGGGGGAAATCAGAAGGGGAGATGAACCATGAGAGACGATGGACTCTGAGAAACAAACGCAGGGTTCTAGAGGGGAGGGGGGTGGGGGGATGGGTTAGCCCGGTGATGGGTATTAAAGAGGGCACGTTCTGCATGGAGCACTGGATGTTATACAAACAATGAATCATGGAACACTACATCAAAAACTAATGATGTAATGTGTGGTGATTAACATAACATAATAAAATAAAAACAAATTGAATTTCTGAAGTTTTGTTATATACAAAAGTTTTCAGTTTTTATGCAGTCTCATCTTTTAGTCTTATCATTTTTGTCCCTTTATCTTAGAAACTTTAAAAAATTATCTTCTAGGTCATTTGTTAATTTTCTCTAATGTTGAATTGGCTTTTCATTTCTTTTATTGTGGCTTTAAAGTGGCAGTCTGCATTTTGGATCATTCTTGTTTATTTTATCAATTTCATAAAGGCAGTATCCCCTTGAGTATTATAAACAACATTAATTTTACACTTAATAAAATATTCCTATGCCTTAGTACTATTTTGAGCAAAGAACATTTTTTTAAAGGTTTTATTTATTTATTTGAGAGAGAGAGAGAATGAGAGAGAGAGAGAGAGAGAGAGAGACAGAGCATGAGAGGGGGGAGGGTCAGAGGGAGAAGCAGACTCCCTGCGGGGCAGGGAGCCTAATGTGGGACTCCATCCTGGGACTTCAGATGACCTGAGCCGAAGGCAGTCGCTTAACCACTGAGCCACCCAGGGGCCCGAGCAAAGAAAATTTTTTAAAAGATTCTTTATAAGAATCATGTTTTTCTTCTCATGTTCTTTTCTCCCCCCCCAGTATCCCATGATTTTTCCTTATATGGCTCATTCTTTTAGAGGGGATCTATGTTTACCCAATATTGCTTTATTATTTGTAAAATTATCTAGGAGTTGTGTTTTGATGTGATATATATCAGAGAGGTCCAACATTCCCCAACCCCAGCCCCAGATCTAGAGAGAGGGAAAAATAAGAAAAAGTTATGATGGCTATGTGACTATGGTCAAAGCTATCACCAAAATCCCTGCTGGAGTTCCAGTGGCCTGGGGACACAGGAGGGAGCCAGGGCCAGGGTGTTTACCTATGGGCTACCTACCATTACAGTGGTTTTCTTTAATTTTTATTGTTGAAGTATAATTGACATACAATGTGATATTAGTTTCAGGTATGCAAAGTAGCGATTTGGCAATTCTATACATAATGCTCACCACAATAAGTGTAGTCACCCTCTGTCATCATATGATGCTATTACAATATTATTGACTGTACTCCCTATGATGTGTTTGTTGGCTACCATGTGGATTAAATAATCAGGAACCCTTTCTTCTACCTCCTCCCCTAAACTGAGTCTGTTTCTGTCTTGGGTGTGACCTTTTGCACTTCAGGGATTGTCTACATTACAGAAGACACTCAGTGTTATAAGCATGCAAAGAAAAAAAAAATAATCAATTTGACCTAGGTGGAACTGGACAAAAAATGACTTCGAATGGACTTGAACTTTTATAGATGAAGAAGTCAATGGTAATGCTGGGCTCTAAATAAGTGAAGTCATTTGCAAACTACCACACAGTCTTTATGGATATTGTATGAAAAGAGGATAGAAAAACCCTCTACATACTAACATATCAGGAGCACCATCCTCAGACTTGAAGGACATGATAGAAAAATATATTGGAATAGACAGAGAGAGATAAATACTTATGTTATAAAAAGTGAGGCAGTAATATTCTCAGCTAATTCTGCCCATACTTACTTATCATTCAAAGATTAACATAAAAGTGTGAAAATTTTTACAAAGCTTAAAAATCATTATATATAGTTTATTCAAGCAATAATCCCCTCAGAATTGGTTATTACCACTATTAATGACTTGCTAGTTAGAGTGTTAATGGCCCATAGCAAAAAACTGCTGGTAATGACTGATTTCATAGGGATTATTGCTTAATTAATGACACTCCACCTATCCTTAGTCATTTTTGTATCATTTTTATTGCCTATTTTAAGACCCTGAAGCTTAGTTTATTACATTTGGAAGAATGTCACCAAGACAGATAAAATAGATAATAATTTTCTGATTGTGGTTAGCTTTGTAATGTATGGACATTTCACTAAGTTATTTCATATTTCTCTATCCCTTGCTAATCAAATGTCACTTGTGACTTCTGGGTGGGTTACAAGAATATAACTTAAAAATTGATGTACTTGGTTTTGAAAGAAAAAAAGTCTAAAATATTTCTGAATTAGTGGACACATTTTCGCACATCTCCAATTTGGATCGGGTAATAAATGGGAAATACAAAGCTGAGATAAGATGAGATACTTTCCTTTGAAAACCTTCTCAGTCTATGCAGGGAAGGCTGGGCAGGATTTTGGTTTAGCTTAGCCTCCAAGTAGCTATCCACTTTTGATTTTCTGATTTTCATCTTCATTCATAAAATTAGATTACTGGACTGGATAGCCTCTTAGTTCTTCATAGCTATTAAATTCTATAATCAGAAATCACAGTTTCAAAAGAGAAAACAGGAACATTTGCATTAGAGCTATAGAAAATCCTTTTTTAGTAAATCCCATGGGATAGCCGAATTATTCCTTAAACTAAACATGGTCCTTTTGAATACTGCTTGAAGGAAATGGGTCATCATCTAAGGTTTTAGAAATGAAAATATTTTTGTTGTGACAGTGCTAAGTTTTGTGGACTTGGATCCAGCTCAGTTTCTAACTGGCTGTGTGAATTGGGGGCAATTCTAGCACCTAAAGTGGGCCAACATCATGAATTTTCTGATGTGATGTAAGGTAATGAAACTTGACATTAATCAAAACACAGGACAACGACAACAAAAATTTATTGAAATACATTTTTCCACAAAAGATGCTTAAGTTGTTGAAAGTATCAAGTTCCTAAATCTCATGGTTCATGTTGCATAATTTGGAAACTTGCCTTGTAAGACTTGACTCTGAAAGACTTGTAAGTCATCTTCTAAGTTACTGGCTCTCACAATGTGATCTGGGGACCCTGGGAGTCCCAAGACTCTTTCAGGGAGTCCATGAAGTCAAAGCTATTTTTTATAATAACACTAAGATGTTATTTGCCTTTTTTTATTCTTGTTCTCTCACAAGAGTACAGTGGAATTTTCCCGAGGTTTCAGGGCACATGATACTATTTATAATGAAATGTACTGATATTTGGAAGATCTGCAGAACTAAGTGAATCAATATTCTCTGAATAACCAATGCATGATGTTGCAAAATTATGCATGGATAAAGAATTCTTTGAGACTTATCTGGCAGGGGAGATACCATGATTACGAAGGTGGTTTTCCCAAGGCAAGGCTTATCCGTTGCACTTTGGATGTGCTGACCCCTGCGATTTTCCCAAATGTGGGAAACTCAACCGCATAATTTGTGGTAGCGGGGGATTGTGTTTGCACTTTCCCCTTATAAAAAATATTCATTTTCCTTAAAAAAAAAAAAAGAATTCTTTCAAAGTGGAAAAAAGACCAGTGGATTTTAATGTGGCAGAATATGAAATGTTTCTTGATATGGTTTCAGATTTCACTTTGCAGCTAACCTTCGAGAAACTACTACCTGTTGAGTTTTGGCATAGTATCAAAGAAGAATATCACAATTATCTGAAAAAAATTCTTTTTTTTAAATATTCTTTTTTTTTAAATTTTATTTATTTATTTGAGAGAGAGAGAATGAGAGATAGAGAGCACGAGAGGGAAGAGGGTCAGAGGGAGAAGCAGACTCCCTGCTGAGCAGGGAGCCCGACGTGGGACTCGATCCCGGGACTCCAGGATCATGACCTGAGCTGAAGGCAGTCGCCCAACCAACTGAGCCACCCAGGTGCCCTGAAAAAAATTCTTTAAAAAATCCTTCCCTTCCAACTACATATGTGTGAGTCTGGATTTTCTTCAAATACTTAAATTAAAATAACATAGCAATAGATTGAAAGCAAAAAGAGATATAAAAATCCAGCTGTGTTTTATTGAGCCAGATATTAAAATGATTTTAAAAATGTAAAATAATGCTCCTTCTGTCACAAAAATTTTTTTGTTTGAGAGAACATAGTAATTGTTTTCATAAAATAACTTATTTATTTTAATATTTAATGGATTTATGTTATTTCAAAATAAGCTAATGAATGAAAAATTTAAGACTTTTAATTTTAATTTCTAATACGGTAAATATTAATAAACAATTCACATAAACAAACTCTTTAAGGTCCTCAATAATTTTTACCTGCATAAGGATCCTGAAACCAAAAGTTTTGAGAATTGCTACTCTAAATCAATTATATTCCTAAAGACCTATTTGCTGCCATTGTGAACTTTTAAGAAAATATATTCCAGACCCTGAAGACAATTTCCAGGAAGAACTTCTGAAAATGTTTTGAGATATGGCACATCAATAGAATGAATGTTTGGCTTTCCAAGATAAAAGATTTAACTGAGTAAACCTTATTTGGATAGAGAATTCTGGTATGTTTAATGAAAGAATCATCCTTGTAGTGTATTACAAGATTAGGTCTTTTCAGTTGTCACTGGAAAGTGAGAAAAAGTAGCATGTATATAAGAACAATAAACTGGCTCAACTGAAAATAGATGAAACAGACAGAAGTGATGTGAAATTGTTACTTCCAGAAACCTGCATGGTAAGTTCTGAGACCTGACCCTTGTACTTTTGGAGCCTTGGATCACTCTGAGTCCTTAGCCCTGAATCAGTATTGTGGGCAGAAGAGGTTCCTGCTATTTCATTTAGAAGGGAAGTGATTTTGAGAATGCACCACAGTAGTCTCTGCAGGTGTTGGGGGAGTTCATTAGGAGGATGTGACTGCCAGTTGGCCCATGAGCTGGACCTGGGTAATTAGAGGCTCCTCACCCCCTCCCTATCCATGGAGTGTGCATTCTGCTTGCCTTCCTCACTCCCAGAAGCTGCTCCAAGGGCATAGCCTTGAGATAGTGGTGTGTTGTTGAGGCCATCCGGACAGTGTTTGTGACTGAACCCAGTTAAGGCCTCTGTATAAACTTTCAAGATCCTGGCAGGCAGGTGTGGAGATCTAGTCTTCGTGTGGTTGCCCAAGACAAGCCTGCCCTCACTTATTAAACATGCCACGTACAAATCTGGAGTGGTCTGCCTCTTTCTTTGGTCTCTCCCTGCCCTGTGTGTGCAGGGCCCAGTTTGCAAACCAACAGACATGGTAGGATTTTCAGTATAGGTTAATCTTCATCTCTCTCAGAGCAAAGTAGATATGAGAGGGCTGCAGCAGAAGAAAGCGTGACACTCACTTACTTTCTCTTCCCTTTAAAATACTGACTCGTCAGCTCACTTGAATCCTTGACACTAGCTCTAAATTGAGACTACATGGATCTGAAGCAAACTTTGTAAAGAGCTTTACTACCATGATATTAAAATCGGTTTCTGGAAAGAGAAAGGAGGGTGGAGTGGTAAGTTCCTTTTTTTTTTTTTTTTTTTTTTTTACTTCCAGACTGTGTATAATTGCAAATGATGAGAAAGAAGATCAAGTTCATCACTTATCACACAAAACATTCATGGCTGGAATTCTGTAGAGAGATTTATCTCCTTTTTCTGTGTTTTGGGATATAAACAGAGTGAGGAAGTGATTAAACAGTGTAAGAAATTCATGCTAAGATACTGATCACATAATGTAGTGTGTTACTCTTTGGTAGAGTGTTTGCATTTTAGAAGGGGACTGAGGTGGGTATCCAACTAAAGTAAGCAATCTGGAAAATTTTTTTTGAATAAAGGAATGGATAATTTTAAAGTGCTAGGCAAAGATTGGGCACTACTTTTCACATTACACGATAGGAGAGATGAGTACGAAAACATTAATAAAATGAAAAATGGAAAATATTAAAACAAAAAAGCCTACAAATAAAGTCAGTAACCTTCCCCATTTATCTGTAGCTGATTCTAAATTGTCCTCTATCTTTATAGGTATTTTCTTTCATACCCTAGCCCATTGTTCAAACTTGGTGACACATCAGAACTGAACTACTAGGGGAGCATTTAAATTTTTTATTAGAAAATAATACATTTTCATGGTAAAAAAAATGTTCAAGTGATTAAGAATAGCATTAAGTAAAATGTAAAATTCTGACATCCCTATGCCATTCCCCAGGGGTGTTTACCTTTACTTAAACCAACATTCCTCCCTCCCTTCCCTCCTCCCTTCCTTCCCTCCTTCCTTCTTTCCTTTCTCCCTCCCTCCCTCCCTTCCTTCCTCAAATATTTATTAAGCACCTACTATTTACCAGGCACTGTTCCAATTGTGGGGACACAATGAACACACCAGACAAGATTTCTGCCTAATGGGACTTACTATAACTTTGGAAATAAACATATATAATCAGATAGAAAGTAGAAAGTATGAATAGTTACAGAAAAATAAAAGAGCATAATGGGCATGAAGTGACTGTGGATAGAGGGAACTAATTAAGCCAGAACCTTGAAAAGCTTCAGTTTTAGTTTTTCCATAATGGTTGCTGCCATAATTCTGGATGATAATGCTTATAAGTTTGTTTCTTGATTTCTCATCTTTAGTCATTACCTACTGATGCCTCATCGTGAAAGTTGAGGTATTTAGCTCTCACATAATGGTTCCCTACTCTATCACACCTCTCTCGAGTTTTGTTAGTTATATTATACTTTAGTCCTTAAATTGTTTGCCTTTGTATCTTGAACCTCCTTTCATATTTAGACAATTTGGACAGTCTCTTTTGACTCTGCTAAGCATCATAAAAACTCAGGTACCCGGCTATACTCTAGATGTGCCAAATAAGTTTCTTTGAGGTTTTCTTTGAGGCTTTGGAAATCTATATTTAAAAATAAAAGCTCTCAGAAGATTCTAATGATTAGCTTATTGGAAACCATTGCCCCAGGCTACATCTTCTCGCACTGGAAATTGAGTAGATTCATTCTCCATATTCTAACTCAGTGCTTCTTTAGATTTTTGCACCTCACACAGTTCAGAGATATGCAACCTAGAGCAATGTTTACAATGCATTTAAATCTTTAAACTATATATTTAAAATACATTTTTGCCTTAAATGAAGATATATATATTTGTTTTGCTTTAAGTGAAGATATATGTAAGATGTAAGATATATGGTTTCATGGCAGTGTAACATCAAGCCAAGTAACTAATACGGTCCTGTTTAGGGTGAGGCACCTTTTGGGTAAGAAGGAAAATACATAGAAATAATGGAAAGTTGACTGGTTCTCAGAATAGTTGAAAACTTTGGACAATAGGGGCAGTAAGGAGCGCTACTCAAATAGCAATATTGTCAGTCAGGGTTTTTAGTTCAATCACAGAAGGACTCTGATTGATTTTGAGCAGAAAAAGAATTTATGATAAGAATTTGCAATGGCTCACACCATCACATGGAAGGCTGGGCATTAAGGTGAGAGACTGGGCAGTAGCCAGGAATGTTCTCTGGAATCACATGGCAGAGCTGATCCCGTTAGGACAGAGCCCAGGTACTGTGGCTTATACCATGGACCCAGCTAACATTTGGCTCTCCCCAGTATAGTTGGCACTGCTGCCATTGTCTACCCCAGGAAGGCCCTTGTACTGCCTGTAACTGCCACCACTTCCAAAGGGGTTTCTCCAGTTCTGTCTTGTTTGCATCACTAGCTATAGATGTAGTCCATGCAGGTGTATCTGCATAGCAGAACTTGGGTCTCTTCCCACATCCAACCTCAAGAAAGGAGGAGAAGGCAAAGACCCAGCATTATCAGCTTCTCTAGTGGGATCTACAAGGTAGACAGTTCTCCAAAGAGAAGATTCAAGGTGCAGGGTGGTCAGACGTCCACTGTGGTGACTTGGGCTAAAGGAGAACCCAAGGAAGTAATATGATGACTATGAATGCAATTCACATATATCATGAAGGCTGCCAAAATTCGAGTGCTTGAAAGTGTGCCTTGAGGTATTCCTGGAGTGGAGAACCACTTTTATTGATTGACCTGCCCTACATCAGAAGTCACTGAGCTCCCAGCCTGTGGCCACTGTGGAGTCCAAAGGACATTTGAATTTCAGCTTATGCTAGCACTGGTCAGCATGCTCAGAAGCACTAATTTAGGTCTTTCTGTAGAATTTGGAACAATTCTAATTTACACATGTGAGAAGAGTTGCTGGCCTCAAAATCATCAGACTCCCATGGAAGAACTTTGTATCATACAAGAGGACCCAGATGAATCATTATTTAAGTAGAGCATTTCCTTTTATTTATACAAATTAAAGCAAATTTTAATGTAAAAAAAAAGAATTTATGAAAAGAATTTGCAGTGGGGTTTAGGACTACTTCTATACCTAGCCAAATCTTCTCCTTAAGGTCAAGCTGTAAGTATAAGCACCTGGAAATAGGGACTGTGCCTTCTCTTGGCCTGTTGTATCACTCACATGGCATTTGTCAAA